TCAGTTTGTTTAGGAGTCGCCGAGTCGGAGTCTCCTTTTTTCTCTCCTATATCAGTTATGGACAGAAACTAAGTCTATAAGGCATGAGGGTCAGATTCCTTCCACTAAAAGACTCCTCATGTTTTTGAGTGCAATCTTACTTGCATGTTTCATAAGTTGGTGTTGGAATATTATTCTGTGAGCTTTTGTCTCCTAAACTACTACTATTTGTTGCTTGGAAATGGTCACATGACAGACAAATTTATAAAAGATAAGGCATGTTGACACGATTATATATATTGAAATTAACAATTTACATGACATCAACATTTTTCATTTACATCTTATGAGAATTAAAAAAAATCCTATAACATTTGCATGTTTCTTTTATGCTTCTCTTATAATCTTTTTATGTAGATTATAAAGTGGAAAAAAACTCATCTATTAACTAGGTACCCAAATGGCTCTTTAAAATCATAGTTCTAAACTGGGTATGTAATGAAAATAAAGCTTGCCCTATGTCCAATGAGTTTTCAGGAAGTTGATGTGAAATGTAGCATATATGTCCAAGAAGAGTATGAGAAGTGTTTTAAATTACAACATATATTGCATAATTGATTACACATCTCAATATGTGTATGCATATATTCAAGGAGTATCCAAAGAGTGACCGGTATGCATATGATACATGTAGGTACGTGTCCGGTAAACATCGCTATTACTTCTACAGTACTATTACATTTTCATGTTAATATGTGCTTGTACTCTTACTTTACCATAAAGCCTATTTATCATCAAATAATCTCCAAGATTTCAAGATTCAGCATTTGACACCTACCATTTCATGTATGACTTCATGGTAGAGGACCTAAAACAACTTTAAGACATGGCTAGCCCAAACTTTGCCTACTAGGTACTGCTTTGTGGCAACCAATTGCCTGGACTACTGCAAATCTTCCTTAATTATGTAGTGGAGTTTTCTGGTCTAACTCACTTGCCATTTTTATCTACAATGGCAACTATCATATGAAATCTTATTATCTTTTGATATTTATGAGTACCATAAATTGTATATTCAAGCGAAAATCATGCAACACTTCTTTGCTACTATGTTGATGCCGATCAATTTTTTTTCCTATACAGATATTCTATTTGAGTTCTTTGGATCTTTCAATTTTTCTAGTCTTGAATATTAAGTTTCCATAGCAGCAACGACCCTATAACTTCATCGCCTAAGCTCTTTTTTCAAATCCTCTTTCTTATATATGTCATTTTGATCCGTAAGTGGAAAACTGAACTTATTCATCAAGGAGATTCCTAAGCTTTCAAACCCTTAAGTTGAGATGTTATTGTCATTTTGCAATTTAATTCTGATTTCTCTTTCCATCTGTTCTCAAAGTGATTGCTTATGCTTTAATTTCACTTTTTGTACAGGCACTTTATTTCTGTGTCCCTTTTAGAGAGCAGCTACTGGAGTACTATGCAAATAACAAGAATCAGGGTGATCCAGAGGAAAACCTCTTGACTTGCTTGGCAGACCTATTTACTCAGGTTACTTAGAGAATTCTGCTTCTGTTCTTCAAAATACCAAGTTCCTTCTACTGTTCTACTGTTCCTCTAATGTTTTATATTTGTGTAGGTCGGTTGTGAGGAAATGAATGATCTGATAAAAATAGGGTGCTTATATTTATGGTTGAAGTGAATGGTGTGCTGTTTTTCATCTCAGATAGAGGGATTTACAACATAAATATGTGTCTCATTTGGGTACCTATTAGTCGTTTCTACTATCCTAAGGAGCAATTTAGGGCTCAGGTGCAAAATGGCGTAACATGTATTGTTGTTTGCCTGTCAGCCTGTTTTTGAATTCAGAAAACAGAAAGGACATAAACCTACTATATTGTATCATTAATCATTTACACTCAAAACAGTCCTTATGGATCTGTCCTGCCCATATGTCATTATAAAGGATATCAGGATTTTGTGTTATGGTGTTTTGAAACTATGCAATTGGATGGAATGCAAGTTGTCAAGCACTAATTTTTTCTGTAATCATATATCTGCAAGTGCAAGAAAGAAATATGGGCAACCAAACATTCCATCTGTGGGAATAACTGTGCAAGTATAATTTAAAGAAGAATTATAAAAAAACCAATTGAGAAGTACAACAAAGACATATACTATAGTCTAAGTAAAAAAGGTGGCTGAGCATAATTATAAAACTAATTAGGACATGCTGACTGAATAGAAGTTAAGTGACTAGGCAGCAACATGCTTCAGTTTTAGCTAACATGATTTTGATTTTATGGGTCTTGGTTCGGTTGGAAGTTTTTAAAGTAGGTCATATACAACTAGCATAAAGTTTATAGTGCCTTGTGTATATGAGACATGATGCATCTAAGTTAAATTTTGGATATATTGCAAAAAGCATCTTCAATTATACCTTGTTAAAAAAAACCTTTAAGACACCTAAGATACTTAAACTCACTCACTTTGATGTGTATATTAGAGAAAGGCCATTATTAAGGAAAACGTCTTTTGAGGGGTCGGGACATTTGCAAGGGAGTAGGCATGAATGGGCGGCTCAATTGTTAGTTTGATGTCTATCTATAATTCAATAACTCAAGAAATGCCTACCGTTCCATTTCTGGTTTAAGTCAAGTGTAAAAAAAATTAAGTCAGTGGATCATTACAAGGATATTTTGAAGAGAAAAAAAATATGGTGAAGAAGATATTTGTGATCAAAGCTTAGCTTTTGACACTATTAATGTTGTTTAGTCGCTAATTTAATATAGGCCTAACTAAGTAATTATTAATTGCTCGTTGCTACTATAAATATCAAGAGATTAAATTCTATTCTATGTATAATGGGTTAATTTCACAAAACCCTCTGAAATTTGTGTGGTGTTGCACATAACCCCCCTAAAATTTGGGGTGGTGTTGCACATAACCCCCGTGAATTTTGTTTATCTCACTTAACCCCCCCTAAACTATTGGGTCTCACAAAACCCCCTTGAACTTTTGCTTTTCTCACCTAACTCCCCTACCTGTGTAATTTGCAAATAACTAAAATATGTTTGAGTGAAACAATAGAACTTTATCACCATTCATTTAAAGGCAACATAATCTTTTCCTAAAGTTTGAGTTTTTTTTTCCTCTCAAGAAAATTTTCGTTATTTGCAAATTATGGGCAGAGGGGTTAGGTGAGATAAGCTGAAGTTAGGGGGCTTTTGTGAGACACCCCATAGTTCAAGGGGGTTAAGTGAGAAAAATAAAGTTCAGGGGGTTATATGCAACAACCCCAAAGTTCCGAGGGGTTGTTGTTTGTGAAATTAACCTATAAGGGAATAATATTATTAAGTAATTAGAGAACTTACATATGTTTAGAAAAAATACAAAATACTTGCAAAGGTAAAATAATTACTATAAAACTAATCTGCAATAAAAAGGAATCAGTAAGTACAAAGGGGAACTAAAAAAAGTTATTAAAACCTTAAATAAGAATACTCACAACAACTCTAGAATAAGAGAAGGTTAATAGACATCTTAAAACTCTTTAAAGCTATGCATTAAAACTAAATGAAGGTTCATAATTAAAAGCCTTAATATTAATTAGAAAAAATGTGAATTTAAGTAAGAGTACCCCCAGAAAACAAAGAATCAATATGTGAAAGTTTGTACGAAAGATTAAAAGTTAGGGTTAAAATTGTTTGCCACTATCACAGTAACATAACATATCTTGAAACTAAAGGTGAATCACATGTTTAATGTATACATACGTTAAAACAGAAAGAATTTTTTTTTTATTCTTACCTCTACTCGAGTTCCTTAGAATTTTTTTTATTCTTACCTCTACTCGAGTTCCTTAATTTTTATGTACTCAATAATTATAAATTTCTAGCTATTTCTATTTCAGTCACTAATTCAGATTTAGAAAAAAATGCAATATCACTAAATTAGCAAGCACTGTCATATAGGCATGAAACTTAATCGATTATGGAAACTAGTGTTAGAATGTTCAGAGGTTTCTCATTTTGGAAATTTCACTAATTTTAAGAATTTTGTAGTAAATTGATACCAAACGTTCGTTACACCTTTAAAACTATCCAAATTGATGCTATAAATTTAGTCACTAATTCAAATATCAACAATGTAATATCACCAAATTAGCAACCACGTCATATCAGCATGAAACTTCATCGACTATGAAAAACCAATGTTAGAAAGTTCATAAGTTTCTCATTTTGGAAATACCAATCAATTTTAAGAATGTTGTAGTAAATTGATACCAAATGTTCAATGCTCCTTTAAAACTATCCAAATTGTGCAATTTGAGATGTGTAAGACTAATAAAACTCAATATAGATGAGTACTAGAAATCAATGAACATGTATGTTAATTTATCTAAACTCTGGCATATTTTCCCTGGGGACTGGCATTATGATTTTGTTCGATTTCCTATGTATTTTCACTTTCTATTTTTTTTCATCCTGCAAACTTTTTTTTAATAACTTAAACCATCTATGTCATTTTTTATCGTATATGATAACTTTTCTTGGAGACATTTATTTTTATCATGAAGGGTATTGCTTCTTCATTGTTTAAACTTAGAAGTTTCAACTACTACATAGCTCTTGCTACTTCTACCCCATTTGAGGAAATCTGGAGAATTTCTTTTAGCAAACTTACACTCCACTCTTAGGCGGGACAGTCTGGTAGGAATTATGTTTGAATGAAGAGGGTGGAAGCTGTGGTTTTCAATATTGTTAGGGTTAGGATTTTAAAGGTGAAGAGAAAATATAATAAATTCAAAGGCTTTTGCATCTTAAAGTAAGAATTTCAAATCCAATAACTGACATCACTTTTTATCTAACCCGACAAATATCAGTTTGATAAAATCATGTCCCCACATGAGAAGATACTAAAGTCGTGTTTATAAAAATACTGTAAATTTTATTACTAGAGTTCTTAACATAATTGGGTTTTCTGGTAAAGGCTAGGTGATAGACGAGTTCTAAATAAGTAAATAAAAATTCTAAAGGCTTCTAAAATAAGGGCTTCCATTTTATAGGCAAGGCTAAAAGGACTTTTTTTAAAAATATCTAAAATATCTCAAACAAATTCACTTTCATTGCATCAAGGATCAAGAACTCGGTTCCGATTTCACTCTAATTGCACATTAGTTCATTGGCTATAGAGGTCTCTTTTCAAATTTAGTTCCAGACTTCCAGTGTATACAAACATTTGGCTAAGTATTCGTGATCGCTAGATATATGACAGGTGAGTATTGAATCAAGAAACGTAAATTAATATTGACTGAACAAGTGAAGCCAAAAAATGGTCAAATTAATGTGAATGTACTAGTTTGCAGTGAACTTAACATCACAAATCGAAATTAAAATAAAAATATATCGAACTCCAATAGATTAGGGTTCACATATCTGGGATATTTATAAATTGGAAGGAACATGAAATTATTAACTAGGAATTTGAGCCCATGGTTCTGTCTTTAAGCTTGAATTTCCTGTTGGTTTCATCTAAACTATTAAAAAGTAGTCCAAATGGAGCCAATCAATGCAAATGGTGTAAGTCAAATTTAGAGGAACTGAAGCTACATGTTCACTTCCAGGCGGGTCCTCCCGATCTGTTGAAACTGAAGCTTGTTCATTAGTTTGTATGGAGAGAGGTAGTGGTTAGGTTCTCATTGTGATTGAAGGTTAGGATTTTGAAGATGAAAATGATAATAGTAGAAGCAAAGGCTTCACAATTCACAATTTCAACTATTAAATTCCTGTCAGATCATACACCAACTATAGAAAAATGATGAAGAAAACAAAAAAAAAGTCTATTTCATTAAATCATCTCCTTACATAAAAAGACATGAAGCACAGTTCTAAGAAAACCTAATATTTCCCGAGTAATGCTAATTGGACGCTAGAGTCCCACATGCCTTTAAGGTTTCAAAAGTATTTTCCTGATAAAAATGAAAGTTCAAAACACTTCAAAAGCTTCTAGACTGAATATAAATCCTACTCTAATAATAATGGACAATCTATATAAACTGTGTCTCAAGGAATAATGTAGAAATGATGGCAGGTGATCGTGTTGCATTAGCTCATCTGAGCTGACTTTACTGGCAGCATAGTCTTACAGTTTATAGGTGCTTTTTCGTATACTATTAAGGTTCGCTGCTCTGTGTATGGTTGAACATCATCAGAACAAAAACTGTGTAATATCTGCTTTCTCAAATACTGTCACTTTTATATTATTATTATTTTTTAAATAAAGATGGCATAATTATGTTTATTCTGTCAAAAAGAGGGCTAAAAGTAGGCAGATAAAATATGTTCCAACCCATTTTCATTCTGTTGTTTCCTTCTTTTTTGGATCAACTATAGGTGTACTTCTAGTTCGCGGAGTCTGAGTATACATACAATTCTGAATCATACACAAATATTCGTACCATGAACCCTATTGACCAAACCTTGTTTACATTTATAGTACTTATATGTAAGATTTTTTTTCCTTATAAAATAACTGTGTTATTGATGTAATATTGTGTTACTTCATCTCTGGAGATAATTGTTTGATTTGATGTGATATTCTATTACTCCATATTATTCATGTAATGGATCATGATTGATCTCCTTTTATGTGTTGATTGTTAAACAAATATAGGTTAGTTTTCTAATATCCCGCTCATGTCAATATTCATGGACAAAAAGTATAGATATAGAATGTTATATGTGATCTCTATCCATATTTGTATTCTAATTTGGAAATTGGATATGGATATGGATAATACCCACTACATATGATATTGATAAGACCCATATACATAAGTCCCTTTTAACCCTAGATTACAATGTAGATTGGTTTTAGGATTATTGCTGAGAGATTGATGCCGCTATGGATGATGCTTAACTAGGATTACTTTTTCCACTCGATTCCTCTAGCCTCTGGTTAGCGATTTCAAGCACATTGTGGAAGGAATCTACAGTTATCAAGTACATTTGCTTTCGAGAAACTTGGCCTTCTATTGCTGCAATGCATGTTTCAATCAAGCACATTGCGGAAGGAATCTACAGTCATCAAGTACATTTACTTTCGAGAAACTTGGCCTTCTATTGCTGCAATGCATTTTTTGTGGGATTTTTTTTTGTTTTTTTGTTTTTAGATTTTTTGTTTTTAGTTTTTTTTTTTTTTTTTTTTTTTGGGGGGGGGGGGGNTATTCATGTGGTTACATAAAAAAGGAAAATCCTGATTTTTTATTTCCTTCCCCATGGCAATGTACAAAAAGAAAACAATTTATTGGGAGATTGTTATGTCCCGCTTGATCTATCTTTTGTTACCAATACTTTTACATTAATAGGTATGTTGTGACAAGTATGTTATAAAAAGAAACCTATTGAGAATATCCTAGAACCTGTGGATATTATATAAAGAAACCTATTGAGAGTATCCTAGAACCTGTAGTAAGTTCTTGGGTATGACAATAAATGTAGTCTAACACTATGAATCTATCATAGATTTATTCGATTAATGGTTCTAATCAGAGTAATCTCATTTAGGACATCCACTACAATTTTTTAATTCTCATTTTTATCCTAAAATGTTATCCTAAAATGTATCAGTTAATTTGAAATTATTGTAGAAATAATTTTCTAATGGGTTAATATCTAAGATTGAAGATCTTCAAATTTGCATAGCTTATGATGGTCATTTAGTTCTCCCTTTAGAACAAATATCTAAATTTGGTCATTTAGTTATCCCTTTAGAACGGATATCTAAATTATCTTGGGCTCAGCATTGGATGTGAGCTATATTACCTGGGTGCTTCTAATGTGGAGCCGTACCCATACTGGACCCAACACTTCTTGGACACTCCCATATAGTTATTCAGATATGTACTTAATTATAAAATGCATGTTTAATTTAAAGCAGTCGTCGTACACTTCTTGGATATCTATCGTACACTCCACATCCATTTTTGTAACTTGTTGGATAAAGGTCGAGCTCATTTGAGCTTTAAGAGCTACAATCTAAGAGGGTCATTTACGTATGTAGCTCAGAATATTATATTCCATGAGTTTCAGCCATGTCCCCATACCCTACATTTTACAAAGTTGTTGTGTCCCGTACCCGCACCTGTATCTGTACCGTATCTGTACCTGTGCAACTTAGCAACTTAGGATGTGAGTGATAAGTAAGCTAACTGAAATGTCCCTTTGGACTGCTGAAGGGATTTATTCTTCATTTGTTTCTAACTTCTCTTTGACTATTATCTTTAATTGATAACGTTTCATAAATATCTTGCAAGTTTTTGCATAGATTAATGTTTGGACTACACTGTGCAGATCAGCTCGCAGAAAAAAAAGACTGGTGTTATTGCTCCCAAGCGTTTTGTGCAAAGAGTGAAGAAAGAGAATGAACTTTTTCGCAGTTACATGCACCAGGTAATTTCATGGGACCTAGCTGCCTTTGGATTTTGCTCATGCACCCAATTTGTTTTGTTAAGGAGTCTCTACATTAATAAATACACCAATAGAAAAATATAGCTAGCAATTTTCTTGAATTTGTTGCGCACTTTTTCTTGCAAGTGAACTACTAGACATGTTTTTATTCTAAGATTGATATGTTGGAGCTACCATCATAATTGCAAGGGGACATAGATAATTAAATCCAAATCTAATTGAATCCCAGCAGTATCTGATTCAATTAGATCCGGCTTTGTATGTTCTAGATAGAAGGGCCCTGTTGTGAGTTTTAAGGTCTTGACAAACTGTAATGTGTATACGCTGTCTTTTAATATGTGCTCTTTTATGTGCAAAGTAATTGAAGCTTGCATCTGTATTGTAACGGGACAACTTTGCAGTAAATTATTTAGCTGAACCAAACTCCTGGCAATTTTGTAGGATGCTCATGAATTCTTGAATTTCTTATTAAATGAGCTCGTTGACATTCTGGAGAAAGAGTCTAATGCTACAAAGGTCTCCTCTGAAACTTCACCATCCAAAAAGATTGCAAATGGGCCATGCCATCCTCAAGCTAATGGTATTAGAAAAGAGCCCCTTGTTACGTGGGTCCACAAAAGTTTTCAGGTGAATATAAGTCTTGTTTCGTGCTTTTAGCTCATTGAATATTTCATGGTCTATCGACAAAGTATTTCTAATCATATATGCAGGGGATATTGACCAATGAAACAAAGTGCTTGAGATGTGAAACAGTCACTGCAAGGGATGAGACATTTTTTGACTTGAGCCTTGATATTGAGCAGAACAGTTCAATTACAAGCTGTCTCAAAAACTTCAGTTCAACAGAGACTTTGAATGCAGAGGATAAGTTCTTCTGCGACAAATGCTGCAGGTGCGTCTCCTTTTTCCCTAGTATTCACTCTGCGATTTGCAATATGCCATTATCATTTACTCTGATTAGTAACTGAAATGATTAGATATGGTTTGAATATCAACTAATCATGACTAGATATCACAATTTACATTTGCTTAGGGTCATTTACTCAGGGTAGACATAGAGAAGGCCTAAATTAATGTTGTCTCATAAACCACTTGCAGTTGAATATTATTATAATGGCTTTCAAAGATCTTAGTTTCCATTACAGACAGGCAACTTTGTTCCTTTCTCGCTAAGAAAACTGTCAAATTTTTCTGTCCCTTTCCTCCTTTAATAGTTCTTTGTACACGTTTTCATTTTCGATGAACCGGAAGTGGAAAAAATTGAAAATGTTAGCCTGTTATTTCATATTAAAGTGAACTCTCCGATGCTCACAACTTTCAATTTTAGACGTTTGACATTACATTTTTTTTGCTCAACTTCGGATTTTTATTGCTTTGCCTGTTAAACAAGTAGTCATCTCTTTTTTCTCATATAACTAGCAGCCTTTCTCCTGAAAATAGTTATAATTCAACTCCCATACAGTTTGCAGGAAGCACAAAAGAGAATGAAGATAAAGAAGCCCCCAAGCATCCTTGTGATCCACCTCAAGCGCTTCAAATACATAGAGCAGCTCGGCCGATACAAGAAACTCTCATACCGTGTTGTTTTCCCTCTCGAGCTGAAGCTGAGCAGTACTGTCAACAACTCCGACTTGGAATACTCTCTCTTTGCTGTTGTTGTTCATGTTGGCAGCGGGCCGAACCATGGCCACTATGTTAGCCTCGTCAAGAGTCATAACCACTGGCTCTTCTTTGACGATGAGAGTGTCGAGATGATTGATGAATCGACAGTTCAAACCTTTTTTGGATCAGCTCAGGAGTATTCTAGCAATACTGATCATGGGTATATCCTTTTCTATGAAAGTGTTGGTGGAAAGAGTTGAGATAGCTCGACTCTTTCTTCATGAAGAGAAACGAGGGGTTAAGAATTGAGGTGGATGGCATTGTATAGGTTAAGGAACTGCCTTGCTTCAAGGCTACAAAGTTCTTATATGGGCTGCCAAGGTTACAAGAGGGAACAAAAGTATATTGCTCGCATTCTTCTTGTGTTCTATACTTCTAGAGGGTTCAATAATTTTACTGGAATATGGAGTTTGTTGTTCACGGGCAGGAATTTTACTCCAGTGACATTTTTGTTGGTTACTTTTTCCCCCCCGCATGTATCTTTTACTTGTGCTACCTTATGACATATTTGTGTTTATATCTATCTGAAATTGAGTAGGCGAGGATTTATACTATAGGTGACCAATTTAAACTGTTTAAGGGCGGGGATTATTTTTCAGATTTATAATATTAACAGAAGTTTTGTTTGTACGTCTGGCTGAAAGCTAAACTTACATGACGGAGAAGCGAATGGAACTTGTATTTTCCCCCGTCCTAGAACAAGAAGGGGTATCTAAATTGATTACAGGATGCTCAGTTCTTAGCAGTAAAGCGAAAGGAAAATAAAAAAAAATAAGGAAATAAATAAATATATTAATGCAAAAGAAAACCTTCATTTATCTGTTAAAGCTGCTCGTCCTTTACCATTCCACTATATTTACTAATTACTGTGTCTGTAGTTTCCACTCGCATTTCACACGAAGAAGCATACAACAACTTTGAACGGAAACGAACAAGGCCAACATGAACCAATTACCTCAATTCGATCATTGTCGCAAACGAGGACAGATCAAGGTCTAAGGGAATTATTAGATTTAACATTTTTTTTTTTTAAAAAAAACTTCATTCCTGCATTGAACAAACAACGGGCAATAATACTGAAAGACCGGAACAGTCTTTATACATGCTAAAGAGTTATCAGTAGTTTCTTAATTAATCCCCTAAAACTAAATACTTGATCCAAAGCTCTTCTAAAAGTGAGACGATCGCAAGTTAGTCCTTCAAAGTTTAGATCAAAACACGAAAGGGTTAATGTAATCTTCTCCAATAAATGCCCAAAAAGGATTCCTTACTTCTGCTCCTCACCCTAAACTTCTCTTTTCGGAAACACATCAGGGGTGACGGTAAAGAAAACATACTTGTAATTATTAAGTATCCTAAGCGTATGCGAGAAATTGGAAATTATTCACAAGAAAAAAAAAATTTCATCCCATAATTTTCAATAACTAGGATTTTCACGAAACAGTAGCCTACATATCAGAGACGAAGGCTCAAGTCAAGCTTCTGCGATTCCGGCGGTGGTTGTTCAGATGAGTCAGACTCCATCTGAAAACTTCGGACCCACATCAAATCATCTCCGACATCAACATATCTCGGCACCACGTTAGTCCACCCTCTCCCTCTCCTTGATTTCTGAAATCCAGAATGAGGTTGAACCTGCAGCCACTGAAGAAAAGGAGAGCTTAGGTGCTGAGATTTTCTCGAACCCCTCTCTCTCTTGTGAGCATTCTGGTGACCACCCAAAGCTTGAGAACTGAAGAACTTCCTCATGCAGAAATTGCAAGGGAAGAGCCTGACAGGAGGTTGGTCAGGTTTCGACCCAGGAGAACTTTCTCCGAGCGTCAGGTTCAAGCATACCCCAGAGTTTGCCTCGGTTGTTTCTTCATTGGCGGCACAAGCGCGTGGAGATTTGAGGTTGTTCGTTGATGTCTCACTAACTTGTTGCTCTTCCATTTGGGGCTTTGTTCTCTCCTGAAGAGGACTAGCTTAGGTTTATGTAGGAAGGTTTGGTTCCTTTACGGTGGACAACAGGATGTTACGGGGGAATAAATGTGGGGTTGCTGTTTAAATACTTCATCACTAGCATTAGACCAGTCAGAAACAATACATCATGCGTAGTACCACCACCGTAGGTTAGTATTTATATACGTCAAAGTTTTTCGTATTTTGCACTTACCTACCATAAGAGCAATGGCACACGCACGACACGGTAAAAACCCTGAGGGCTGAATACACGGTAAAAGACTTCCTTTCCCCTCCCTGAACTTAAGACGTGCAACATGCCACAGGGGTTGTGAAAGGAATCAGGACATAAAATTGTATATTCCTATGTACTCCTCCCCACCTCTTACCATAGTGGAGAATATATGATGACTGCTACTCAAGAATCAATGCTTGTCCACCGATTCCACATCTCTCTGCAAAAAAAAAAAAAAAAACTCATCGAGTCACACCAACTTTTACAAGGTTCCATAATAATAAACTATAAAACAAAATTGACACGGAATCAAACATCAGTTCTGAAAATACTCCTTTAAGAGGGCTGGACTACCCACCAAAAAAAAAAAAAAAAATCTAGTTACAAGTACAAATATATAAAACATCCTCATCAGTCCTCCACCCGTGACAGTGGTTTCATCGTAAAATAACTCAAAGTGGACCCTCCAAAAGTCAAAATAAAAGTGAAGTGAACAGGCATTTCCTTCCACTATATATATCTACCAATTTCTCAGAAACCTTTTTTTACCTAAAAGTTTAACCCGTGCACGTGTAAGGCACACATGCAAAAGGTCGGGACCGAACAGGAAAATTTTAAGATGTACCACTCTGGACGTTACTTTGATAACTAAAGCTTTAGTTATCGGTGAATCAACCAAGTTTATATATATAGCATTTCAAATATTTCGAAATTCATTTCCTAGTGTTAATGCCATGTCCAGGTATCAAAATCTTCACCAGACTGCTGTATCGTTTACATCAACATTAGTTTACTAAATTGAATAAGAACGAAATCAGGGGTATTAATGTAGAATTCAGATTATCTGATCTGCGGTTGATACAGCTCAAAATGTTAATAAATATCTTAATTATTGTTAATTTTCTCAGCATTGTTTCGGTTCCACAAAAAGTATCAATAATGTGCTAAAGCTTCTTCTTGCTGTTAACTTATAGAGGAATACTAATTTGCATGCACATTCTATTAGTAGTGGGGAATCCTCATTTTCTCTCAGGAACAACTGTACTTTAATGAATAGGTTGTAGGTTTATTCTGAATGATGATGCAATCATTCGATAATGAAGCTAGTTATAGGTACAAGTTTCTCTTATTCTTCCGGATGGTGTCTATCAAAAGTTGCACCCAGTATCTACCAAAGATATGGGATTTTTGTAAAGAAGTATTTATAATAAGTGCAGATGATGATTCCTGCCTATTGCAGTTTGCCAGCAGTCTGATTATGACATAAACCCGAAAGCTCTGCCGCTTTCCATCGTGCAAACTTTGGTAATCATGGCCCAATATGTCCTCTAGCTAATGTGATTGAACCTTTTCTCTAGCCAGTTGAAAATTTAAAAACAAATCCTAGAGGACCATCAAATGCAAAAACAGTCATGAATACTTAACAAAAAGTCGTTCGTAAATGTTAAGTAGAAACATTTGGCACCCTTCTTATTCTTTAAGTGTAATAATTTCACATCATTTCAAAACTTTATCCAAACTCTTGTGTGATTAGAAACTTGATGCATGATGGAATCATTCCATAATGTCATGAAAGGTTGAAGCTCTAAGTGGAGAATTTTGTTCTCATGTGGCTGAGCAAGTGGAAGATGACATGTTTACCTCCAAAAGGAGAAATACGTGAGAGAAAAAGGGGATAAGTTAAGTAGCTTTCAAGTGCAGCAGTTCAATAAATGACTCTAGCAAGATGGAAAGGCCAAGCAGAAGTGACGAAAGCCAAGAATCCACCAGAGGAAAAAAATGGTCCAGGTTTCGATGCTTCTGGAAGTATAATCGTTCGGAGCTCGGAATGGCTATTATTGTCCAACACTTGGATATTATTGTCCAACACTTGGATGAGGAAGAGCTCAGGATACAGTTCTCAAATGGCAGAGGAATGTCCCCCAACACTCTATAATGTCTGCGGAATTCCTATATCAGACGGCAACAGACAATTATTGTGAAGGTGATTACAGTTTTTCTAACTGACAGTTTCATCAACCCTCTGTTCTGGACCGTAAACTATCTATCACAAAGTTGTTAACACGAAAGTAAAAGTTCAAGAAACTACTCTCTCGTGGTTGATTGAAACTGGTTGCCTTCTAACTATAGACCCTTAAGAGTCGAGCACTGGGATCTCTATTCCGGATGAAACCTTGTAGGAACTGCGAATTAGCACTCAGATGTGCAACAGGTTGTGAACCTAGGAAGCAGCTCCACAGAATCTCAAAATATATTCTGTGCCTTCACAAGACATGGAAATATGTCAGCAGCTGATAAATCAATCTTCTATTCCTCCAAAAACTGCATTTTAAATACAATCCACCAACATAATACCTAAGTAGAGAGGATAATACGTTAATACCCTGTGCATAGCGCCTTGGTTGTTTCCCTAGGCTTTCATAATGCCGAACAATTGAAATCAGTCTTCTAACCCTGAGAAAAGTTCATATAGCCACCTTTAAAATCTCACACGGATGGTACGGTCTTTGATGATATGATTTAGCACAACGAGGACGTTGTGAGTTTAAGTGGGGGAGTTTGTAATACCCCAACCCTTGAGAGGGTGATGTGATTAGTATTAATTGATTTGATTGGAATACTCATACCACCAAGATACATCTTCTTTTCAAACTCCAAAGTTAAGCATGCTTGGCCTGAAGAAATTCTAGGATGGGTGACCCCCTGGGAGATTCCGGGGCGGGGCGTTACACGAACCAACTTAAAGAATTAGTTGTTGGGCCGTTTACTGTAGATTTTGTCGCCTCTATCTTGTCTCCATGATAACTAGTATAAAAAGTTCTCTCCTTCTCAGCAATTTACACAAAAACCCAACTAGCCACCAAATGAGCTCAATGATAGATCATAAATCTACTCACATCGGATAACCAAGAAAGTATCAATAAGCTGAATATTTTTTGCTCCGCACTGATGTCCTATTTCCTAAATTCTAATAAAATCACCATATTGCAAATGCTTCGAAAAGAATGAACATAAAAAGTCTAATCTCAAACTATTTGGTTCTCAGATTGAACTCTCTAAGCATTTTTCGATAGTAAGTATGCCTTCAGGAGAAACTGAGATTTTGAAGTTGGGTTTATCATGTCAAGCTCAGATTTCAAACTTATGTTGGTAGAGAAATAATATTACCTCATACGCCCATAGAACACACTCAAGTACTTGGTGCACTCTCATTTCGGCATATCCTAAACTTGGAATGCAAATACAAGTGTGTCGATAAAAGTAAGATAAAGGAGTATAAGGTAAGGAATGAAGTCATCTACAGGTTTTTAGGAAAATCAACCAAAAGAAATAACCACCATATAAAGTAAAATCCAACACAAGCCAAATTTTTTCACCATAACAAGGCACAAGCTATAGCAAATTCAACTAAAAGTTCTCCCTTCTTTAATTTTACTAAATAACTACAGTAAACAATAAAAATGTGCCGTGTGGAAGCAAATTTCATGCTTGACTTACATAAATGTAAATCAACACCAAAATTAAAGCATTTGATACGACGAGTAAGCTAGTCTTTGTAGCAGTATACTAATTTATAAAGAAACGCTCGAATAAACATTTCCAATGCAAGAATGAAATCTTGCAGAAAACAAGATTAGAGGAAGCCTAGCACATGTAATGAAGTGCCTGGGATTTACCTCAAATTCAAGGCATTTAAAAGAGGAGCCTCTCTCTGTAGATTATACACTTACCCGGAGTCCTCTTTTAAGTCAAGAAGCTGCTGCACATGGCGATGATTTTAGAATTCTTTCGTATGACGCATATAAGGTTGTGTTGCAGACAGATATGTGTCATGAGCTGTAAAATGTCTCGAGCATTAAAACTAAATGCAAGCGAACTGATATGGTAAATATAATTTGCCTACAACTAAGAAGTGCTCGTCTGCCTGCAACCTAACCTCTCAAAAAGATTTAAAGCATGCACCTGCTTATGCAGTAAAGGTCCACCTCCCTCCACTAACAATATTATTCAGTTGTCAAGTGTTGAGCTATCTCTAATTGGAACTACATGTAAACATACAACATTTGCAAGCTGAAAAGCATCAAGTGGCACAATCCCGGTCGTTCCTTAAAATAGAGTCTATAAATAATAAAAGGTAGCCACATAAGAAACCCAACCAACATACACTTTTAAGCATTCGAGCAGTCGTGGAGTAAACTGTGAAGATCTCACATACATACCCCCCCCCCCACACCACACCAACTGATGAAATTCATAGTACTTTGAGGCTTTGAATTAGCTGTCTTCATGCTCCTTAGATAGTTTGAATTATTTAGACTTCTAAATAGGAGGGTGTAAATCAAAACGTAGAAAATAGGAAGATGAACAGTTTATATCAAATGAGGTGTTTAATTAGAAAATATCAATCATAAAGAGGAGGGAGGGGGGGGGGGGGCGATAGGCGCGTCCGCGAATTTGATTCTTGTGGGCCAGCTGACTTCCATACTACGAGAATTTATCTTAAAGAGGTGGTTCTTATTTCTTCCATAATTTGAGCATGTTGATATTCATTCAAGCAGTCACACTGCTGGGAATAGCTATAGCCTTTTTATTCTCTCTTATATTCTCTACATTTAGGAAAAAGTATATTTGGAGGCCGAAAATAGAGATAGTAAATGTCAAATGAAGCTTGTATTTGTGAAACAGATATTACATTCATATTCTTACTTACTCACATTCGTCTTTTTTTCTCTGCAGCATCTGGATAGCCATTATTCCATCCTAAACCATGAACTTTTGCCCCAGCCATTCCCAAATCTGTAATTCATAGATCTAAACCATGTACATACATCAATAACATTACAATTTTCTTACCCATCAATCTACAAGTAGAAAAGTAAAAATAATTTAATTGTGAATGGGAAGTGGTGCTCCCACCTGATTCAGTATTCTTTTCCTTTTTCCGATCGTGTATGAAAAGCCCTTTACCTGCTCTAAACCCTTACTTTTAGCCCCCATCCTACACTAGCCCATAAGACTTCAACTCTGGAGTAAGCTATGGACATATATACATAAACAGCATGCTCAATAGTTAAACCATCTATTATAAGTGGCACAAATCCCAGCGGCTTGTTGACTGTGTGTGCCTATAAATAGAAATGGCGATCACATTTGAACTGAACCTCAAAAAACATTTTTCGGCAACTTGCTTCGAAGTAATTAAGAAATAAAATCTCCCCAACATTCACTTACAAGATTTTTCTGTAAAGCTAGCATCACAAATCTCTAGTTACTCTCTCCCTCTCCTTTGAAATATTCGCTTCTCGGGTAATGAG